AAAAAAAAATGAAGAACAAGTGTAAGAACTAGTTAGGACTTCCTCCTTTTGTGCAGTAACAAAGTATATGGTAAATATACACAAAGAAGGATAAATAACTGCCATTTGAAACACCTGAGTGTCTTGTCCCCCAGCTGAGGTGGTCATAAAATGCAGCCAAAGTGTAATATGAAATTGGTCCTCCAGAACAGAAGCAGCAAGCCTGCCCGCAAAGCGGCCCTCCAATCTTCTGCTTTCATCGGCCTCAAGGTTTCATTCAGCCTTAACTCAGAGAGCAACAATGGAGAGGCAGGCAGAGGCTGCGTCAGGGCCCGTGAGCGTTTGTAAATGTACCTTTTGACAACAGATTGAGGCAGCTAGACTAGAAGCCTGTCAAGTTTGGGGAGCCTTCTCTGGCTTACTTTGAGAAGAGTTTGCTATGAGCCTCAAGTGCTGAGGTTACAAGTGTGCACTGTGGCATCTAGCTTTTTATGTGTGCTGTCAATCTGAACTCGGGTCCTTATGAGTGTGGTAAGTACTTTACCTACTAAGCCTTCCCCTCAACCCCCCCCCCACTACATTTTCAGTTGAAGGATAATTCATAGTCTGTCAGTACATCCCATATGCATAATACAGACACGTAACAGTGTGTGTCAAATACATTATTTCTTTCAGAAAAATAGTGCAGTCATGTTTATTTTTAAAATAAATCCCAATTCTGTGATTAGTACAAGCAATGCACCTGCACATCTTGATTCATAAAGTTGAAAAAAAGCATAAAAAGTAAGCCATAACTCATGCCTTTAATCCCAGCACATGGGAGGCAAACGCTGGTGGATCTCTGGAAGTTTGAGGCCAACCTGATCTGTAGAGCTAGTTCCAGGACAGCCAGGACTACACACAGAAACCTTGTCTTGAAAAAACAAACGCAAAACAAACAAACAAAGTAAGTCATGGACACGATAGCTGTAGCATCCTTGGAATTAAGCTGCTTCTTAACAGAGGAATTGAAAGTCTTACCTGAACAGGTAACTTGGGCTTCTTTTGAGTGGTCGCAGGAAAGGGCGCCCCACTGCCAGTTTTTGCATTGCCAAAGAGAGGTTTCATTTCCACTACAAGTGCCAGGGGAGAGAAACGTATCTGTCGCCTTACTTTTGGAGTAGATTATAGACTGTGTCTGGAGTGCAGATCCACATCCAAGCTGTCTACAGACCACATTAGCCTCTTTCAGGGTCCAGGATCGGCTACACATCTTTCCTACCAGCTTCTGAATCTCTACCTCCACAATCCCAGCACAGCGACCGCCTCCACCTACAAGTCTCAGTTCCAGATCTGACCCATCTGCAGAAGAAATATGAGCACAGGCTGAAGGAACCTGGGGAGACACTATGTCCTGAAACACCATCCTCTCCTTCCCAGATACCAAGACACTAGAAACTATGGCTTACCTACCTCCTATTGTTTGCTTGTTTATTTCTTGGCATTACTGAGGATTAAACTTTGGTCCTTACATAAACTAGATGAGGACTGTATGCCTGATGCCATTTTATACTTTTGGTTTAAGTTTTGAGATGGAGTCTCATTAAGTTGCCTGAAAGGTGTTTGAATTTGCCATCCTCTGTCCTAGCCTCTCTCCTGAGTGGTTAGGATTATAGGTGTGTACTGCCATACTCAATTTTGGCTTACCTATTTCTCGAGGTTTTAATAAACAAATGTAAACTGTGAATTCTATTATAAATGGTACATTGTTCTAAAGACTAAAAATGCTAAACACACACACACACACACACACACACACACACACACCTGCTGCTCATCATAGTCCTTTAAAATGCTCACTCTTTGTGCTCCACATAGATTTAGAATTTAAGATGTGGTTCTATGTGTATTAATTACTCATAGTAATACAGAGAATCGAGGCAAGCATCCCTCCTATGAAGAATGTGTCAGAGTCTTCACAGCTGTGGAACAATTCCCAACACTGAATTAATTATGTTCACTACTCACAACTCACACTTATTCCTATTTCTAATGAATGCAGGCTCTTCCCTCTTTGATTTGCTTTTTGTTCTAACTTACCAGAGCAAGTCACACCAGCGTCTTCTCTGTGTTGACAGTAATGCTTTCCCCATTCCTGATGTTTACACTCCCAAAGAGCTGATTCATCTCCTTTGCAGGAAATACTGTCAAGCCAAATAGGTCCAGTACCTTCACTGGCATTAACTCGACCAATGGCAGTGATAGCAGTTGGACATCCCAGTTGCTTACACACCACAGAAGCATCTTGACTATCCCAACTATCATCACACACGGTCCCCCATTCTCCTTGGAATTTCACTTCCAATCTTCCTGAGCATTTGGACATTCCATCCTCCACTCTCAGGCTCAGGTCTGCTCCCTCTACAATAACAACAGACAACAAGTTAGTGGAAGGGAGGTAAGGGTAATGTGACTAGAAAGAGCTCTAGCTGAGTTAGAGAAAGGGGCAGACATGGACAGAGGCAGCCACTCCATAGCACCATTGTGAGTCACTGCAGATAGAAGAAGTGCATGGATGGGGTAAGGACTTTAGCACACAGTACTTACTTCGGGAAGCGTCTCAGAGATCTGTTCCGAGGCAGTTTTTACCCATTTGGTCACCACACCTGATGGTAGAATTGTTTACTCTGTCTTGTTAAAATACATCTGCCTGTGTTCAGGTTTTTCACCTTGTACTCCAGTTTGTATAAATATTCGGCATCTGCTTTCACTGTTATCCACACAGTCTGTCTACATCTACATTAGCCTGCTTGTGCTGTGCACCTGGCTATTTTGTGAGTACCTGTGGAGGTCTGAATGAGACTGTTTCCCCCCAGCTCAGATGTTTGAGCACTTGGTCCCAAGTCAGTGGCACTGTTTGGGAGGCTTAGGAGGTGTGGCCTTTCTGGAGGAAGTATGCCACTGGGGAAAGGTTTTGGGGTTTTGAAAGCAACACACTCTGCAGTCCCCCTCTGCTTTGTGTTGGCATTTCAAGATGTGAGTGCTGAGCTTGCTGTTCCAGCCTCCAGGTCCGCCCCTTGTCATGTTTCCCCACTGTGATGGTGACAGACTCCTAGCCCTCTGGACCCTTAAGCCCAAATAAACCATCCCTTCTCTAAGTTGCCTTGATCATGATGTTTCACCACAGCAGTAGAAAAGGAACTAATCGGATATTTCTAAGTTTAAGTGCAGAGTGGAGTGGGAAGGGCCTGAGCTGCTCCTCTCATTTCCAACAATCAATACCCCTTAAAGAACCATCCTTAATTCTGAAGACTATCCTATGGTAAACACAGCCGACAGCCTGGATCTCTATGTGGAGTATTACCATCACCAGGCACAGGCTGTGCCTACTTGAGATAGCCCAAGCCTTTGTGAGGTATTGATGTATTGGCACTTACGTTTTTATTATTGAATTCTATGTTTGAGCTAATGGTTTGGGAAGGAGCAGATTGAAAGGTGGCTAAAAAGATGATGATAGAAGATGAGGAAGAGGGTGGTTTGTTTTAAACCAATTTCAGAAAGACAAATAGTGAATGTTATTTCAGTTGTGGTTCATAGATTTTTACAATAGATATATAAAATGATGTATTTGTGATATTTCTATATTTATATTATTTCTCTATCTACCATCTAGCTATCATCTGTTATCTATCTATCTATCATCTATCTATCTATCTATCTATCTATCTATCTATCTATCTATCATCTATCAATCATCCATTATCTCTCTCTATCTAATCTGTCTATCTACCATCTATTATCTATCTATCTATCTATCTATCTATCTATCTATCTATCTATCTATCTATTATTTATATATCATCTATCTATCTATCTATCTATCTATCTATCTATCTATCTATCTATCATCTACCTATCTTGTGCCTACTTATCTATAAATGACAAGAAAGTAGAAATAAAACAGTCTAAAAGGACAGAGTACTAACAGGAGGGAGAAAGACAAGGAAAAGATAAGAGATTATGAGGGGAAAATGTGCTCAGCATATAATATTCCCATGTACAAAAGATTCACAAAATTTACTGCTGGCTCCTTAGTCCCCCTGCCCTCTTTCACCTTGTTTTCAACCCCATCAAGATTTTCCTAAACACTCTCCTTATGATGAGACTAAATTTCATTATTTATTATTTTTCCTGTAACTATTTTAATTGCTTGTTTATTTATTTTGAAATTTTTACATGTATATGTGTATGCCTGGACATATGTATATGCACCATGTGTGTGCAGTACCCTTGGAGACTAGAGTGACAGGCCGTACCTTGTGGACTAGAGTGACAGGCAGTTGTGAGTCACCATATGGATGCTGAGAACTGTACCCCAGTTCATTGCAGGAGCAGTAAGGACTCTCTTAATCACCAAGCCATCTCTTCAGCGCCTCTCTGGCCCCCTACAATTACTTCCGTTTTCTGATTTCAGTTACTGAACCCACCAGTGTTAGAGCTGGGACCCAAAATGAGACAGTCATGAGGTCATGGAGGCTGACTGGACTTTATTATGTTCTCAAGGACTCGGGCTCACAATCCCAGTACCTTTTCCTTCTGTCTGTCACAGAGAACAGAAAGGCTGGAGTTGTCCTTACCTAAGCAGATCACTCCAACATCCTCAGCATGGTCACAGTTATGCTTTCCCCACGCTCCATGTTTGCAGTCCCAGAGAGCCGACTCATTCCCACTGCACGCCAGATCGTCAAGCCAGATTGGTCCAAAACCAGCTCCAAATTTAGCTGAGCCAGAGAAACTAATGGCACTTCCACATCCGAGCTGTTTGCAGATCACAGAGGCATGGTCTTTGCTGAAGTTGTCGTCACACACTGTTCCCCACTTTCCCTGGAACTTCACCTCTACCCTTCCTAGACATCGCTGGGCCCTGTTGTTCACCAGTTTCATCTCCAAATTGGATCCGTCTAGAGAAAAGACCGGGGTTAGGAAGTGAAGTCCATTCATAAGCAATTCATCTTTTAGGGTTTCCTGGATACTTCAAATTTGATGCAATTCTTAAAAAATAGTGTTTGGCTTTTAGGTACTTCCCATTTCCACATACTGGAGAATTTTGACCTGCTAAAATCCAATGAACAATAAGGATTTTCCTCTACATCTACTTTCCAAGGAAATTGTGGTAGAGATCAAAATACTCTTTGGTACAGAAAAGATCAATATGATTCATTATTTACACACACACAGACAAACACACACACACACACACACACACACACACACACACACACACACACACACAAGCAGAAAAAAGGAAATTGGCCTTCTAATCCAGTTGTTGAAAATGAGAAAATGATCATTTACTGAACACGGAGATTCCATATCTTAACCTCTCCATAGTAAAAGAGTTCTGAGAATGAACAATTGATGCTGAATTTGAAATTGAAAAATACGAAAAGGAAGATTAAAATGCCTAAATAAACACAACAGTTTGCAAAACATTACGTGTTATCAAGTTCTTAAAAATTATGGAAAAATAATTAATTCCCATTTTCTGAATTAAAGTTTGTGTTCTCCCCAAGACATTTAGTATCATTTTCAGCATAAAGAGGTTTTGTTTTTGTTTTTTTGCAATGAAATGTGTTTGTCATGCTATGAGTTTCTATAAGGTGTAAAATACATAAAGAAGGGAGACTTTGGTTGAACTCTGGAGACACTGGAGAAGGTGCAGTTGAACAGAATGTTTAGAAGCACTTTCTTGAACAAGAAATTAAATTTTATGAGCTATAAGCTCCAACCAAAGACCTCAACTTATCAAGGCTTGTTCTCACTGTGGGCAATTAATAATAATAATTAATAAGAATAAGAAGTCACAATCAAAGTATACATAAGCACATCACATGCCATGTTCTTCAGTTCTTGCACATT